TTGATGTAGAGAGCTCATCGATTTGTGCGGTCTTGGAGATGTAATTGAGAGACTCGCTCTTAAGTTTGGACAAGATGTCCACCTCGTCATTCTCTGCTCTTGTTAATTTATTGCACAATAGATAATAGTTAAAAACTCTGTTCTAAAAATCGTTCTAGGCATCCGACTAGTCCCCGCCTAGGCGCTAGGCGGTGGTCGGGCGCCCCGATTTTCGCCTAGGCGCTCCGACTAATTGGTTAACCGTCTAGGTAAATTAGTCGGCCGCCTATGGCGCCTAGTTGCCCGCCTAGAGCGGCTAATCAGCAACCTAGGTCATCTAAATTTTCACCGAACATTACTTTACTTTATAATTTTAGTTTTCTAAGTGATATAAGTACTTTAACTTTAGCCCGGATATAAAGAAATGAAGTTGTAAATTAAGATAAAGACTATATATTTTTGTATATATACCTAAATTTTATTATTTATATATGTATGTGTGTATATGTATTTTATACACATAAGAAAAACATAGAAAAATGCAATTTATATGTCTCCGATTAGTCCCCGACTAGGCGCCCGCCTAGCCGCCTAGGCGCTAGGCGTTGGGCTAGCGCCCGACTAGCGCCTAGCGCCTTTTAGAACATTGGTTAAAAATAAGAAAAATTACCAATAGAAGATAGCCAAAACATTGGTTAGTGAAAAAATAAGGACCATAGAAAAAAAGAGATGAATGTCATCAATTTATTTTTTGTGTCCATCTTTCCCATGCCACATATGCATCATGCACATTGTTGCATTAAAAATGCTCTAAAGTGATAAATAAAAAGGGGGTTGCATTTGTTTGTTGATTTAGTCGATTCTTCTTGTTCAATTGACACTGTGTTTGGAGAATTATAGAGGTGTTTATGTGATACAAACATAACCTTTACTATATATGACTCAAAAGTGAACATAGAAGGAAAAAATTGTTCATCACAACCATGCTCGAGACTTTCAAATAAAATTGTTCATTAACGTTTTAGAAGTATATAGTCTATCTATGATGAATTATGTCAACAATTTCCCTCATTTTTCATGATCCTCTTTAGCATTTGGAGCTATAGTATGTCCTAACAGTTGAGTTACTTGTTGGGATTCGGGCAGAAAAATGCAGCGGAATAAACGAAAATTTTACTACCCAAAATTAAACAAACGGATATGAGGTTCTTACTATAAACGAAATTACAAGACTTAAGAGGGACTTACATAGTAATCTTAAGCAAGGATGTCAGACAGTCCGAGAAAACGATCCCGAGCTCTACCGGTATCCACACGCACGTGACTGGATCGCCCGCAGGGAACGTGCTAGCGTTCTCTTCTTTCTTCCTCTCTACTCTAGGTTTAAGAAGTGAATTTTAACTCATAAAATTCGTGGGTCTAGATGGCCCTATTTATAAGAGGAGGAAAGAAGGGGTTTTATGGCTAATAAAACCCTTAAAGAGGCCCTAGCCCAATACCATTCGAAACCCTATTTCGAATTGGGCTAATCAAGCTATTTTAATGTTATTAACAAACATTAATGATCCAAATCACTTAGGTGTGTGACCCTGTAGGTTTATATATTATTGGCAGTGAGCTAGAAATTAATTCGAGCTTCACAAATCACAAGCGGCCTCTAGCAAGACATTATGACTATCCAAAAAATATATAAATGTCAATTAAATCTGACATAACCTTTTAATGATTAATTTGTGCTAATAATTCTCTTTTGTCAAATGATATCTTAATTGAGACAAGGTTAGGTCATGTCATCCTTGTTATTCTCAATTAATATTTCTTGATTACCAAGTAAGATTAATCTTGATCAAATGACACCTCATTTGTGCATGGCCATGCTAATTAATCTTACTTGTCAAGAGGCCCAATAGATATCTTTCTCTCGATATACAAGAGTGACAAAAACTATCTTGATAATTCACATACTACTACATGGTTCATAGTATGTACAATCACCACCTTTATAATTACCCAATTAAAGATAACATTTAATGGTGTTAATACATATTAATTCTCATCCAAGTAACCATGATTATCTCAAGTATAAGAATATAGCAACTCATCATTATTGAAGACAACACTGATGACATATAACCTAGCAGTGTCCTCAAGTTGGGTCTGTCCAATGAACTTGTTCCCTAACAAGCATCTATGTTATTAACTCGATATCTATATACCCATGACTAGTGGAATATAGTCATCAGTTAATCCACATACTGGTCTATTAATTATTAATGTCCCAAATTAATAATATTAGACCAGGGACAATTAGAATATTATGTTTATTTTAAAGTGTAGCATTCCACAATTAAGTCACATACTTAATTAGCTACTAAACAGAATATTCAGGGACAAAATATTAATAAAGAAAACTCACAATAATAATTAACATAAAATGAGTTTGCGACTTTATTAATTGATGAGCATTAAATATTTATGGATAAATCATAAACTATGATTGTCCTAGGGCATATTTCCAACAGTCTCCCACTTGCACTAGGACCAATCGTGAACAAAATGAATGCCTAATGCACTAGTATGACGTTCATGCTTTGCTTGTGGTAGTGGCTTGGTGAGCAGGTCAGCCACATTTGAATCTGTCGGTACTTTGCATATCTTGACGTCACCTCTATTGACTATTTCTCGAATGAGATGATAGCGTCTGAGTACATGCTTTGATAGCCACATTTGAATCTGTCGGTTCATAGCTTCTTTTGCTGCTTCTGAAGCAGCAATGTACTCAGCTTCTGTTGTAGAATCAGCCACCGTGTCTTGTTTAGAACTCTTCCAGCTCACTGCTCCGCCATTGAGGCAAAACACAAATCCTGACTGCGATCTAAAATCATCCTTATCGGATTGGAACCCAGCATCTGTGTAACCATTTACAATGAGCTGATCTTCACCGCCATAGACCAAGAATACATCCTTAGTTCTTCTCAAGTACTTTAGGATATTCTTGACTGCTATCTAGTGACTATCACCTGGATCTGACTGGTATCTACTAGTCATGCTTAGAGCGCAAGCTACATCAGGGCGAGTACATAACATAGCATACATGATAGAACCTATAGCAGAAGCATAAGGGACTCTATTCATCCGATCTCGCTCATCTTGTGTTTGTGGACACTGAGTCTTGCTGAGATATGTGCCATGTGACATAGGCAAGAATCCTCTCTTGGAATCCTGCATATTGAACCTATGCAGGACCTTGTCAATGTAGTTACTTTGACTTAGTCCTATTAGTTTTCTAGATCTATCTCTATAGATCTTGATCCCTAACACATAGGATGCATCACCCAAGTCTTTCATTGAGAAACACTTTCCAAGCCAAGCCTTTACAGACGAAAGCATTGGAACATCATTCCCAATGAGAAGTATGTCATCTACATATAGGATTAGGAAAGTGATTGCACTCTCACTCAATTTCTTGTAAACACAAGGTTCCTCTTCGTTTTGATTGAAACCAAACTCTTTGATTGCAGCATCAAAACGAAGATTCTAACTCCGAGATGCTTGCTTCAGACCATATATTGATCTTCTAAGCTTGCATACCTTCCCAGCATTGCTTGGATGTTCAAAACCCTCAGGTTGTATCATATACACGTCCTCATCTAGATTTCCATTTAGGAAAGCAGTTTTGACATCCATTTGCCAAATCTCATAATCAAAATGAGCGGCAATTGCTAAGAGAATCTGAATTGATTTAAGCATGGCAACTGGCGAGAATGTTTCATCATAGTCTATACCATGAATTTGTTTGTAACCTTTCGCCACTAAACGTGCTTTATACACATCTATATTGCCATCTTTATCCAATTTCTTTTTGTAGATCCATTTGCACCCAATGGTTCTACAACCATCAGGTAGATCAACCAAGTCCCAGACTTGATTATCAGCCATGGATCTCATTTCGGACTTCATGGCTTCTAGCCAACTATCGGAGTGATGACTCGTTATTGCTTCTTGGTAGGTCAAAGGTTCGTCTTCGTCAATTAATAATACGTCGCGATGCTCAGTTATGATAAACATGTATCTAACTGGTTCGTTACGTACCCTAGATGACCTCCTTGGAGCGAGTGTTATCTCAGACGTATCCACAACAACTTGTGGCTGAGGTTGTGGGACTGCTTGCATAGTCTGACTATCTTGATCTTCTTGAACTTCTTCAAGCTGAATTTTACTCCCACTGGTTCTTTCGGAAAGAAATTCTCTTTCTAAGAAAATACCATTACGAGCAACAAACAATTTGTTCTCTGATGGGTTGTAAAAGTAATATCCTTTTGTTCCCTTAGGATAACCCACAAATAAACACTTATCTAATTTGGGTTCAAGCTTATTTGAAAGTAAAAGCTTTACATAAACTTGACAACCCCAAATCTTCACAAAGGCTAGACTAGGAACCTTTCCTGTCCATATCTCATATGGTGTCCTTTCTGTAGCCTTTGTTGGAGCCCTATTGAGTATGAATGCAGCGGTTTCAAGAGCATAACCCCAGAAAGAGATTGGTAGTTCAGCGAGACTCATCATGGAACGAACCATGTCTAACAAGGTTCGATTTCTCCGTTCGGACACACCATTCCATTATGGTGTACCTGGCGGAGTGAGTTGTGAAACAATTCCACAGCCTCTTAGATGATCACTAAATTCCTGGCTCAAATATTCACCACCTCGATCTGATCGAATGGCCTTTATTGTTTTGCCAACTTGATTCTGAACTTCATTCTGGAATTCTTTGAACTTTTCAAAAGCTTCATGTTTATGCTTCATTAGGTACACATAACCAAACCTACTGAAGTCATCAGTGAATGTTATGAAGTACTGAAAACCTCCCCTGGCCATTGTTGACATTGGGCCACATACATCCGAGTGTATGAGGTCCAATAAACCATGAGTTCTTTCACCTTTACCAGTAAATGGTGACTTGTCCATTTTACCCAATAAACAAGATTCACACTCCTCGATTGATTCAAAATCAAAAGAGTCAAGAAATCCACTAGAATGGAGTCTTTTAATGCGTTTCTCATTTATATGGCCTAGTCTACAATGCCAAAGGTATGTTGGGTTTGAGTCGTTAGATTTAAACCTTTTTGTATTTATGTGATAGATGGGCATTTCAAGGTTTAGAACATAAAGTCCATTTATGAGACTAGCACTACCATAAAAGATCTCATTAAAATAAATAGAACAAATGTTGTTCTTTATTATAAAATGAAATCTTTTCTTGTCCAAACAAGAAACAGAAATAATATTCCTGCTAATGGCAGGTACATGATAACAATTATCAAGTTCTAAAACTAAGCCCGTGGGCAAATTCAAAGTAAATGTCCCTATTGCTAATGCTGCAACTTTTGCACCGTTGCCTACTCGTAGGTCAACTTCACCTTTAGCCATCCTTCTACTCCTTGTTAGTCCCTGCACATTTGAATAAATGTGAGAACCACAACCGGTATCCAATACCCATGAAGTAGTGGTAGTAACATTTACTTCTATCACATAGATACCTGAATTGGAAGCATCACCATGCCCCTTCTTTTCAGTTCCTCCAAATACGCCTTGCAATTCCGCTTCCAATGACCAGTTTTGTTGCAGTGGAAATATTTTTTCTCTTCTTTAGAAGTAGAGCTAGCAACCGATTTGCCTTTACCCGAGTTCTTAACCAGGTTTTTGGATTTCTTGTTTCCACCAACCTTGCCATTACCATGCTTCTTGAATCCCTTCCCCTTTTTGACCATCAAAATGTCACTCCGATTTTTCTTGATGTTTTGCTCAGCAGAGTTGAGCATTCCATGCAATTCGGTTAAGGTCTTCTCAAGACCATGCATATTATAGTTCATGATGAACTAGTCATACGCCTGAGTGAGTGATGCCAGAATCACATCAGTAGCCAACTCTTGACTGATTGGAGATCCAAGTCTTTCCAGGTGATCCCTATGCCCAATCATCTTGAGCACGTGAGGTCCAACTGGGCTTCCATCAGTAAGCCTTGTGTGAAACAAAGCTTTGGTCGTCTCGAACCTTTCGATCCGTGCTTGTTTCTGAAACAAGTTCTTGAGTTCATTAGAGATGTCATGTGCACGACGATTCAGAAACTGTTTCTGAAGATTAGCTTCCATGATGGTTAACATCAGACAAGTGACATTAACTTCATCACGGACATGCCTTTCATAAGCATCTCTAGTTTCTCTAGCAGCATTGGCCGCTGGTTCAACAGGAATTGGTTGGTCAAGGACATATTCTTTACGCTCTTGCTTGAGAACGATTCTCAAGGATAGATCGCAGTGAAAAAGTTGTGTTGGCGGCCATATTTACTACAACAAATAATGCAAAGAATTTTAAATAATGCTAAAAAATAACTCCCACTATATTAAATAGAAAGTCCCAAATATAGCGGTCCAAGATCCACATTTCACTAAAATTTAAGTAAGCTTTGGCTTATCACTTAAAAATTAGTTATTTAGGTAAACAACTCTTGTTAATCATATCCTATATGACTCTTGGTTTGTTTGGTCAACATAATTTGATTATCCAAACACTCCTTGCTTCAAGGCCCAAAACCATTTTGATGGCCTTGTAAGTCCAAACTAATATTAAGACCCGAGAATGACGATCATTCAAAACATCTTCCTAAGATAGTGTGAAATGCTCTGCTTTGGCAGACACATATCACGACTAGCATAGTTTAAATGGTGGTCATATTGGGAAAGCAATTTAGACTTATAATTAGTCGGGACTAATAATTACACACATGCAGCAATCAAATATTTAAATAAATAATTTAAAACTAGTGCAGTGATATAGCATGATCCCAAAATCTTCATATCTCCTTGACATCTTCAACCTGTGTAGTGTACTACTAAAAATCTACGGGGTTGAAAAACATTACAGGGGATAGTGGGAAACGGCACGCAGGCCGTAAAACAACATAATATAAAGGGGGAATTTGACTTTGCACCCTATGTTTTAAGCCATGTTAGACTTTGCACCCTATATTCAAAATCATTAATATTTGCACCCCATTAGCTCAAAAATTGGGAAGGAGTGGGGTGCAAAGTCAAATGATTATATAGTGAAATAGGGTGCAAATATTAATGATTTTGAAAATGGGGTGCAAAGTCCAATATTAACCAAAACATGGGGTGCAAAGTCAAATTCTCCCTAATATAAAACATACATTCAGATCATGCTATACCACCACTTCAAATTGTCCCTGTGACGGAACAAAATAATTGCGCATGCACGGATTGAAAATTAAATTTTAAAATCCGCAAGTAATATGTAATTAATTCGGATCTCATCCGAAAAATAAAATACATATTTAATGAATTCTAAAATAATTTGTATTATGTATGCACATATACAGATCATATCCGTAGTATAGATTAATACACATTGTTGGGATATATTATCCCGGCCTATTACTGTTCAGGAGCCCAAGACATTGCTCGCTACGGAGCCCGAGCAGCTAGGCCCATTTCGGCCCATCCGGCCCACTTTAGCCATTTCGGCCCGCTTCGGCCCACGCGGCCCATTAGGGTGGAGAGCATCCCTTCCCCTATTCTCTATAAATATGGGAGTTTCCCTCCATATTAGGGGGTCTCTTTTAGCTTCTTCTTCTTCTAGAATAGCATATACTCCATTAATGGGAGCTTGTACAATGTAATGGTGAGGAGAGTCCTAATGAGAAAGAGAGGGCTTGGACATTAGCCTAAAAAGTCCCGTGGTTTTCTCCCATTCCGGGTTTCCACGTAAAAATAGCTTGTTCATACACATTTATACATATATTTACTATATCGTGTTGGATTAAACTCAACACACATATAACTACGAATAGAAAAATAATGAACTAAAATTCGAATTATTTGTATTCTATAAAATAATTATCTATAGTTAATCCGTGATTAAATTCGAATTTCCCAAATAACATATCCGTAATATCGATCAATTCGAATATGTTATAATATGGATTATCTCATCCCAACTAATTTTGTATTCTAGGATCTCAACTAATTTGGCAGAACACTAAATTTGTATAATTGAAGAATAAATTTGTAAAATCAATTCGGATCTCATCCGAAAAACAAGAATCTAAAACTTCCAAAATTAGATCTAAATATAAACTAGATCTAATTCAATCTATTATTGATTTCAAATTGGGAAATCAATATACGTAGTATAACACAATCCGAATTTTGATACGAAGCAATAAATATAAACTAGTTATATTCGGGAATCTAAAACATATTTTGAATATCAAATTCCGAATTTCAAGTCAAAATCCCAGTTATACTCAAAAGTTATTCCGAATATGAAACATACATTATAAGTATCAAATTGGATCTAATTCAAACTCTTGAATTTTTATGTCCATTCAGATCTCTTCCGAATAATTAGGCTGTAGGAATCCATCCAATTCCTAATCTATTCAGATCTGATCTGTAAAAATAAATATTATCACAAAACATTCCAATATTATTGTGAATATACATTGGATCAAGTTCGAAATATTCGAATATCACATCCTCACAAAAACTTCGGAATATAATATACACATATAAATTCCGAAATTAATAAATCAACAATTTCGAAATTAATAAAAAATTAATTCGAAAATAAATCCCAAAATAATCAAATTATAGATTATATATCAAATCATGTAACCCGAATATAATAAAAAACCGTAGGCTCTGATGCCACTGTTGGGATTCGGGCAGAAAAACGCAGCGGAATAAACGAAAATTTTACTACCCAAAATTAAACAAACGGATATGAGGTTCTTACTATAAACGAAATTACAAGACTTAAGAGGGACTTACATAGTAATCTTAAGCAAGGATGTCAGACAGTCCGAGAAAACGATCTCGAGCTCTACCGGTATCCACACGCACGTGACTGGATCGCCCGCAGGGAACGTGCTAGCGTTCTCTTCTTTCTTCCTCTCTACTCTAGGTTTAAGAAGTGAATTTTAACTCATAAAATTCGTGGGTCTAGATGGCCCTATTTATAAGAGGAGGAAAGAAGGGGTTTTATGGCTAATAAAACCCTTAAAGAGGCCCTAGCCCAATACCATTCGAAACCCTATTTCGAATTAGGCTAATCAAGCTATTTTAATGTTATTAACAAACATTAATGATCCAAATCACTTAGGTGTGTGACCCTGTAGGTTTATATATTATTGGCAGTGAGCTAGAAATTAATTCGAGCTTCACAAATCACAAGCGGCCTCTAGCAAGACATTATGACTATCCAAAAAATATATAAATGTCAATTAAATCTGACATAACCTTTTAATGATTAATTTGTGCTAATAATTCTCTTTTGTCAAATGATATCTTAATTGAGACAAGGTTAGGTCATGTCATCCTTGTTATTCTCAATTAATATTTCTTGATTACCAAGTAAGATTAATCTTGATCAAATGACACCTCATTTGTGCATGGCCATGCTAATTAATCTTACTTGTCAAGGGGCCCAATAGATATCTTTCTCTTGATATACAAGAGTGACAAAAACTATCTTGATAATTCACATACTACTACATGGTTCATAGTATGTACAATCACCACCTTTATAATTACCCAATTAAAGATAACATTTAATGGTGTTAATACATATTAATTCTCATCCAAGTAACCATGATTATCTCAAGTATAAGAATATAGCAACTCATCATTATTGAAGACAACACTGATGACATATAACCTAGCAGTGTCCTCAAGTTGGGTCTGTCCAATGAACTTGTTCCCTAACAAGCATCTATGTTATTAACTCGATATCTATATACCCATGACTAGTGGAATATAGCCATCAGTTAATCCACATACTGGTCTATTAATTATTAATGTCCCAAATTAATAATATTAGACCAGGGACAATTAGAATATTATGTTTATTTTAAAGTGTAGCATTCCACAATTAAGTCACATACTTAATTAGCTACTAAACAGAATATTCAGGGACAAAATATTAATAAAGAAAACTCACAATAATAATTAACATAAAATGAGTTTGCGACTTTATTAATTAATGAGCATTAAATATTTATGGATAAATCATAAACTATGATTGTCCTAGGGCATATTTCCAACATTGCTAACCTACTAAAGCGACATGTGAGATGTGTTGGAACATTTTGAGTTTGATCCATATCTCGTGTGGGTGTCAGAGCACCGAAAATTGGATGTACCTCTTTATACTCGTAGTCTTTCTATTTTCTCATGATACATGAAATTAATTCTCATCACCTAGAAGAAGCTCATATTATGATCAATAGATATTTTTCATTTAGTTAGAAGTTTATATTTTATCTAATAGCATTTTGTTAGATATGTGTGATGAATATCGAAAACTCTCATAAAGATCCAATAGTGAATTACTATTTAATTTAACCTTATGTGACAACGAACCACAAATTTGTAATACTTTTCTTCATTCTTTTTTATATAATTGTGTGTGTTTTTATATCTATCTAAATGCTCAATTTGGGAAGGTTTGGAAGTAAGTAGCATCTTTGACATATCTTCATCTACAATTGATTCTCGATAGTGAAATGCAGAGATTAAATAGCAAAAATAGTGAATCTGCAAAGTCCTAAATGAATTGACTTATTGTGGGGAAATGGGGCTTCTATAAACACTTATTCATAGTTTTCATTGAGAAATATATGATGAGTGATAGAATAAGATCTGCTAAATTTTGATCCCACTAAATCGATCATTCTCAAATTGCCTCCAATTAGTTTTTTGCTCATAAAAATCCCACTAGAGAACTTCCTATGTCTAATTAGCCGTAAACTAGATTGGAATCATTTTCAGGTACTCATAAGAACTTCTTCCATTGTTTCTATTTCTAGATAAAAACCAAATATCTTGAACCAACAATTTGACAGTACACTTAACTTTTTTCATTTTCATTCCATGTTTGCAGTATTATTTGAAAGAAAAAAAAAACTCTCTTGCTACATGATTTCATTTTCAAATAGATAGACATATGATCTTTGTGAAAATTATTTATTAGTAATTGTGCTACACCCATCCTATCTAATAGAACAGGTATCAATTAGATTATACAAATATCAATTGGAATATCAAATCCCAAGTTTGTCTATGTAGAGCATATATCCCAAGGATATTTAAGTCTTTTCTTATTAATTAATTACTTTTCCAAATTCTTTATTTTCGGCATCGAAATAAGGAACCCCGCATAAAACCCTACGCAAGTGGCCTCCACTAATTCTATACGTTGCGCCGCCACAGGTTGAATTGAGTGTATCATAATTTGCTCTTGAGCATCTACAATCAACTGGTGTTGTCACATACTTCGTCATCATCATGTTTTTCTTCAATGACTTAAGCTAAGATATTGTCATACTTACAAGAGGTTCCGCTACATCTCAATATG